CACCTGCAGCCTTCTCAGTCGGTAGAGCATGGGGAGCTGAAAAGTCCTTGGCTGGGGTAAGCATTACCTAGCAACAACTAAAACATCGGTGTGTTATCAACATTATTCTCATCCTAAATCCAAAACACAGCCCTGTACCAGCTACTAGGAAGGAAATTAACTCTATCCCTGCTGAAACCAGGACACTTTCCATGAAGTTTCTTCTCTTCTGTAAGACTATTCTGTGGTAACTAAGACACCTGGCATACCCTTCCCCATTCCAGAAAAGAAGATTAAAACCTTCTGCAGAATATGTGACTAATACTCATTTTGCTTCACTGAGAGAAACTTTAGTTTTCAATCTAGCTATCTTCCTATCTAGATGTAACAGGTTTCCCATAAATACCATTTTCATTCTTTTAAACTTAAATGTGTAATACAAAATGTTTGAACTCTGTGGCTTACAAATACTCTCACTGAGCTTGTCTCCTTCATCTTAACTTCAAAAAATTACTCAGCTAATGACTCATCCAAGGACACTTTCTGAATTCAAGAGAAGGCATTGAATCCCATTTTCTGAAAACAGTGATTACTTCATATTGGCACCAGTATGACATTACTTGTTTAGACAGACTTAAATCAAGTTTTCTGTCATCTCTTTTTATTTTTGTAGTTTATACATGTTTTTTCAATCATCTGATTTAGGCATCGCATCTTTTTTTTAATGCACGGTTTCAGATAGAACTGTGAAAACAGAAAATGTAATTTGTTGAGCCATTTTTTTGAAATGGTTACTTTGCTTGACTTTTAGCTATGCACATGGGGTTTCATCGCATTGAGTATTCCTAAAAACAAAATTGTACTTCATGGAAAGGTCTGACAAACGATAACCAAAACAGTGATCAAACTTACCTCCTTGTTTTCATAAAGGCTGCAAATGTCAGGAACCAAGACTATTTCACTAGTGCTCTGCTACTCCTGTTGTGTTGCCACAGAAATGTAGGGCAGTTTGTTGTCTTGTGCACTGAGACTCATGCACTGAGTAACAAGCAGGTACTGGATGCACTCAGTAGCTCTTTGTGTGTGTGTGCGTGTGTGCGTGCACATTTGCATGCCCATTCACATGTGCTGTGTTTTCTTTTCCAACCTGAATGAATTAAAAAGTTCAAATCACATTGACTTGAGGATGGCAGAAGGCAGAAAGATTGAATTCCTGTAAAGTTACCTACTCATTCTCTATCTGGATGTACCTAAGGCAGTGGATATCCACCCCCTCTCCCATGCTTCCTAATAAACATAATTTCTCTAATGAGGCTTAATTAGGGCAAATAAGGGCTTTTGCATGTTATTTTCTCCATGGTTCACTCAGCCCTTGGTGGCTATATAGGAAAAGGTCTTTGTTTCCAAAAAGGAAATGCATAGAGAGAAAACAGTTATGTTTTGCACAAATATACTATCAATGCTAATGTCTTTGATCGTTGCATTGGGGTCCCACTTGAACAAATGATCTGAAGTAAAAGCCCTCTACTTACTTTCTTTTTTCTCTTTTTTTTCCCCTCCTCTCATCTGAGACACCCATTCCTGCAGGTACATGAGTTTGTTTTTAAAAAGCAGTGGTTGGTCTTTTGCTGTTCATTGGTGACTGTTGTGCGGGAGGACTTCTGAACATGGCAGTAATTCCTTCCTTCATGCTGACTTTCTGACATAATTTTAAACCTATTTTAAAGTTTTATGTTGCTCTGTATATGCTCTAAATAACTGAGTCTATTACAAGGTAAAGATAAAAAGATGCTGTGTAGAGGTCCCTTTTGAAACTATTGCAGTAAATCTGAAATTCACATGTGCATACACGTATATAATTGCTCAGATTGAATTGCTGTGGTTTAGAAGCTTGGCATTTTAGAATGTAATTTTTTAGGGCTGCTCTGCACTTCCACTTAATTGCATTGTCTTAAGTAATTTACCCCAGCGGTTTTGATGGCTGCTTTTTGCATAGAAGAGGGCAAAGGAAGACATAGTTGCACAATTGAGGTCAAAATCGTGTCAATTTGTGTGTGTATGCTCATTTACATACACATCTCCTACGTTTACTGGGAGTGAGGATCTGAGAGTCCAGCAACAATTAAGAGAGTTTTTTTCCTTATTAACACTGAATCCCATTGCAGGTGTTTTATCTTTCTGTGTTGACAACAAATGAGTCTCCTTGTATTAAGAACTAAAAAATTTAGCAAAAAAAAATAGCCCTATATCTTTCTAGCATTTGGTTAAGAACTTGAAAATTAATAGTATCATTAGAAAAAAACAGAAAGAAAGTAGTTTTCTAGAGGTTTTGTAGCTGTTGATAGGTGGTATCTGTCTTTGTCCTCACAGTATAATACCTGCTTTATACATTGTGCTGTAGATCTAAATGCTCATTGCAAATGTTCTTTGAAAACATTCTCCTTTGCTAGCTTACAATTAGCAAAGCTGCATTTGGTATTATAGACAGGTTTTAGGAAGGGAAAAGGAAGGGGCTGGGGAGGTTATGAATTTCTTTGCCAAGAGAGGAAAATTAGCAATATACTCAGTGTGATTATTAGAAGAGGTTGTTATGAATCGGGACAGAGGTTGCCTGCTAGAGAGAGACTATATCTTGGACAGGGCTATGACTGAAGGGGTATCTTCTTCCCAAACATCTGTTGTTAATTCCCTGTTCAGAGCATGGCTTGCATTTGATGATACATCCCAGTGAGATGAAAAGAAAGTAGTGAGACTCTATAAATCATATAAATACAGAAATAAATTTAGCAAAATTATTTCATTCTAAACTGGCAGATTCCCTAAGTGCACAATCCAAGTTAGATAGGCAGTTTCCTTTGGAAATCTTAAAAATTTCAGTCTTATTTTAAGTTAATCAAGGTTTAAGCATTTAGAAACTGTACTTTCATCTTTGATACTTTTTCATTCAAACTGCAGAATACTTATACTTATTTGTGTTTGGAATTTTGTCACTAGTGTATCTTTGGGCAGAGGTGAGATGTTGAGTATCCTCCATCCCATAACTGAATTATGAGGAAGGATGAGGGGCTAGGCACTCAGCAATTTAGAATTGGATCTCTCTTTCCTAACCATTTGAGCATACTAATGTCCAGACTGGTTCACACAAGATGTCCTTACAGCCTATTAGACAGTAGGAGTGGAAATCGGATAAGAAAAGAGAGCGCAATGAAGAAGCTCAAGTAAGAGCTGTTATTTAAGCAAATTTCTCTTTACTGTAATTTTCCAGAGTATGAGGTTGTGTCAACTGAAAATGGAGCAAGTGATGGTGAAAAGGAGAAATCGATTATCACTACGAATCAAACCCATTCTACTGTGGAAAACCTAAAACCTGACACAAGGTAATTAAATAATTTTCTAAGTCAATCCAACTAATTTAGACTGTCGGATGTCTGCCACTTCAAATGAAAATACATATGTATATAAGACCAAATTGGTTTTACTCCTGTTCTGATAGGCAAAAGGTATGCTTTGGTTTTGCTTTCTTTTAAGTTAACAGATAAGACACATCTGAGGAATCTTTAGGAAATTTCCAGGAGTATTTATGGTCTGGACAAACTGCAGAAGTGACCTGTTCTATCAGAAAGATTAACAGTCAAATGTAAGAAAATGTACTGCTTTTTATCAAAAAATCTCTTGAATTTAGCAGATAAAGAAACAAAGTGAACACAAGAAATATTAACCTGATATGTGAGATCAAGATTTATATGTACAGTTGTCTCTCTCTGGGGTTTAAGGATGCTCGGGGCAACTGATGTAGACTGCTTGCTTATTTAGACGGATGTTCGTTCAAATACTGGAATGCAAGTTGGGCAACTGTACAAAGCTTGACTATTGCATTGCACCATGGAGAGGAAAGATACATTTGTCCTGTATATATAGTTTTCTTTCAGTGTCTCGCAACAGCTGGCAAGTTAAAAATGGGTCAGTGAATTCCAGTTGATGGCATACATCTCATGCAACTAGTCCAAATAAGCATTATCATTCTTTTTTAAAAAAAACAACTCATCAAAAATTATTCTTCTTTTTTGTGGTAAAATTCAGAGCAGGGAAGAAAACCACTTGTCCTTTGTTTGTGTTGCTTATTGATTGCATCAGAAAGTTAATGAATGACACGTTTTTTTCCTCTAAGACCATCCATTTGGCTTTGGTAACTGGATTTTTCTGTTTCAGATAAACTGCCCTTTTCTGTTATTATCCTTAAATTGGTAACAGCACAAAATTCTGCATAGAACCCATCTTGAACCTTTATTTTTAGGCAATGTGTGGTTTAATCTGGGGTGTCGGTTCTTAGCTTATGTATTTGTGACCTGCAGCTCCTAGGAGGAGGAATGAGGAACTATTGCAGAAAGTGGAGGGGAAGGGAAGGGAATTGCAAAGGAAAGGCTGGGGGGAATTGTTATACCCAAAAAGAGCTTCTCTGAGAGACTCCAAAACTCGTAAGATGGGCTAGAATTGCTCTGTATTGCATCAAGAATATCTCTGTTATTTCTTAAAGGCATGTGGCTTGTGAAAGGGTCAACTGCAGCTATGTTGTTCTGTCTTGTTAGGAGGCAATTAGGATACGTTAGCAACACAACTGGAGACCAAGCATCGGTTTCCTCAATCTCTTCCTCAATCAGTTGAGAAGGCTTGGAAGAGACAGTATATTTCTGGAGTAGTGACTAAGAAAGGCAGTAGGTGCTGCTAAACTTGACAGGCTATGCTGTTTGTGTTTTCATTTCAGTTCTGCTTTGAAATCATACATTTGCATCCTTGAAAAGAACTGTATGTTATTAATGAGATTATCTTCCATTATACACTCGAACTCTTTGTGTCACATATGGTGACAGAAATGGGATGGATTTGGTTAAGTGTAGAAAAGACATGGAAGCAAAGAAAAGTCCTTGATGCTGAGAGCAATGTCCAGATGGCCAAAAGAGAAAAGCATTTTTAGACTGTTCTTTGTTCAGAAAGGAAGCAAGAGGGAGGCAGGCAGACCCAGCTAGAACCATTGGAAAGGTCATAAGGAAGGCAGGAGCTATGCAGAAGCAGATATGATGGTTTTTAACTTTAATTAGTAACAATTCTGTCAATCCTATGAGAGGACTTTCTGGTTTTGGTAAGCAAGAGCAGACCAAAGACCATGGAGAAACGCTGTCTTTTGGAGCACGGGTTTTGTTACAAGAAGCTAGATATGAGATCAGTACTGACTGGTGGAGGCTGACTTAAGACATAAAGGGATAACTTTTCCCTTATGGGGTGGTAGCTATTATCCCCCCCACCCCCAACCTCAAAAGGGAAAGACAGCGAAAGTCTTTCTGGATTCAGGAGACCATCACCCAAAATTGAAAACCTTTGATATAAATTGCAGTGGTGCATGTCCCTCGAGTCTCAGAGGATTTAAAGCATGTAAAGTCCTTCTCAGAGTGGCTCTTTTTGATTAAACACCCATTTCAAAATGTGTATTTCCTAATTTTGAGGACACCTTGAGAGCTTTGGCAGAAGCACAAGAAATTGTTACTGTTACCATTTGAACCCAGGCTTGTTGGCACACTAAATTCAGGGAAAATAAGAAAGTGATTAAGACAGCTGGCATCATGTAGACAGTATCAGTGTTCCAAGGAATGGCATATGTCCATAATAGTCGTCTCCGGTCTGTCAGCAGCTGATTGCTTACTAGATGAAGAAAATGGACCTGAGCACAAAACTGACTGAAAATAGGAGGAAGAGAGACAATGAAACACAGCTCAATAAATTAATTAACAGACTCGCTGAAATGTCTGCAAATTCATCAAGTAATACATTAAGACTGGGAAGCAGACTTTTCCATAACTAGCCTTAAAGGAAAGAGCTGTAGAAGAGGTGGAGCTGGAAAAGAAACTTGGAAGAGAAAAAGAAATCCCTCTTGCAAATGATCAACATTTACAAAACTACCAGCAAGCATATGGAAAGAGAGATGCTCAGTAGCAGAAGGTGGATTAACTGGGGAAGAACCTCTTGGCCTTGAAACACTTTGGAGAAGCTGACAAGCTGAATTTGAGAGTCTATTTTTTCCAGCTTTCCTGAAGCCATCAGTGAGGCTGTGTGAATCCCCTATGCTGCTCTGAAGGTTCAGTGCTTCCAGAGCTGAAGACAGTTCAGGAGGGATCTAAACCAGACAGACCTAAACAAACACTTTCCAAAAGGAATAAAAATGTTTGTGAATGTGGTATCTCAGCCTCCATGGGTAAATTTAAACTAGAAAGATCCTGTAGCAGCAAGACAGTTCAAGCCTGTAATTCTCCAGATGTATGCTCTTGAGGAGCAGTACATGACAAAGATGGTCTGCAGTCCCGTTGCCCAAGGTCTATCATCCTGTTGAGGTAAATCGCGTAGGGTATGTTAGTTAGCCCAGAAGCTAAAGAGTTAATCGCCCACATCCAGCAGGAGGGAAGCAAAGCAAACAGCTCCTCAGTGTGAAGGGGCAGAACAAGCAGCAGGGAAAAACTGGGTGCATCCGAGCCTGTCAGATCATGCTGTTTGTTTGCTTTTCTCTTTTACATTCTTCTTTCAAATAGGTCATACTGCTACACCTCTGGAAAGCTCTGCAGTAAGCCAGACGCCCCTCTTCCTTTGAGCTGGCCTTTTGACAAGGCAGCTTTTAAAGATTAGGAGCTAATGGCCAGACTTTGAATATTTAAGAAATTTGGACAGTGTTAGGGAGGCAGCAATGAGAGACTCTTACAGTCTGTCATAAAAAAAGATTGCATGTGTGACTCCAACTGTCAGTAAGTACAAACATAGAAGTTAAATGGGATACAAATTTCTCTGAATCAGAGGATTATCATGTAGTATTCTGTGTGTCCATTTAGCTGTCTGAAAAGTGAATAGATCCAGAAAAAAATGCACTGGCTGAAAAAGAAAAGGAGTTCGGACTTTCAGTACGGTTATCAAGTATTTGGTTTTAACAGACTCATACCATGCTAATATGGAAATGAAAATGGACTTTCATAGGCATGCAACAACTTGTGAGGGTTACTTTTAAACAAATAAAGTTGTATGTATTACGGCAGTTTGTCGTATCTCTTCTTTGTCTTATATATGCCAGCTTTATGTGTTCTTGGTGACTTGATTGCAAGACATCGAGACTCTGAGATGAAAGTAAAATAGTGATTTGAAAATCTGTCTAACTATGAGGACATACCTTTAAATAAATGTGGGGTGCAGTCAGCTGCTTTCCAACACAACTGCTTGATTTTTTTAAACAAAAAAAAGGTTCCAAAGGCTCCTGTACAATGTGATTTTATTGGAGCGCTGAGATCCCTATGGTTTTTTTGCCCAGGAAAAGGCACATTGTATCCATGCCATTCCCTCATAGTAAGGCATGCCTGACAGTTGACAACATCACATTCATTTAAAGGATTTTTCCTTATAGGATGACTATGTTGGCCTCTTTTTCACTTGGAGAATTGCCAAATACAGTGCTTGCAGTATTTCACTATCGTATCTTAGAAAAATTCTGATAGTTTAAGTATCCTGGAAAGTTCAAATCTTGATATCCATTATTTGGTTGGTCAGAGTTCTTGAAACTGCTGCTGTTCCTGGCACTAACCTGCTGTCTGGGTCCAATCTAGAATTCCATTTAATTTCATCAGATATTTTGCTTTTGATTGTAACTTTTACCTGAAATCTCTCAAAGCATGTAGTGTGGTTATGCTATGTGAGCTAGATAACTATATATGTCCTTCTTATACAGATAGTTAATTGGATATAACTGGTGCCTGAAGAGGAATACTTTCTCTTGTTTTATGAATGTCTTCTGCTTAATCATTTCTATTATAGATGTGCTTCTGTGATCTAGTAATCACATATATGCAGCTGTTGATTACAACTTTGTGCTGTAGTCGGGTTTTGTTACCCTTTACATTATTTCCAAGAATTTTAGAGTACATCCAGGTCACATTTCACTCAGCCCTCTTTTCAGTATCACGCTTAAACACACACCAAATTTGCTGCAGTTTTTGCCATCTTTATCCTTCAATTAGTCCTTCACTTGTTAAATGAGTGAAATAGCCAAATTCCATTAATCCTTTTTTCTTCTAGTTAGTCTGAACCAAGTACTAAGTTACTCAGTTTTTACTCTGTTGTTCAAGCAGTGAGTATCTGTAACTACTGTGCTTGTTGATGGACCCTGAGCAACCTAATGTCGTTGGCCCTTTTAAGTCAGCCCTGTCGTGAAAAGGGGCCTGGACCAGATGACCTTCATAGGTCCCTTCCAACCTAAATTATTGTATGATTGTATCTTAGGGGTAGTTTCTGATCTTTTAAATCTCAGTTTCACCCATTTTCTTTAATGCAGGCCGAGGTGGTTTTATATGTT